TCCCCTCCCCACAACACACACCCTGTGAGGTAGGTGGGGCTGAGAGAGCTCTGACAGAAACTGCTCTTTTCCAAGAACAGCTGTGCCAGAACTACGGCTTGCCCAAGGTCATCCAGCCAGGTGCAAGTGGAGGAGTGGGGAATCAAACCCGGTGCTCCCAGATTATAGTCCGCATACTTAACCACAACACCAAACTGTCTCATGCCAGTTTGTGATTGATTTGACGGGTTGTGTGTTTGTTTGTTTGCTTGTTTTTAGTCGCCACTCACCCAGAGGGTCTTTTGGCGACTTACAACATTAAAACCGATAAGGTAAAAAAAAACAACTTAAAAACAATAACACATACAGACTATGAACATTAAAATGTTAAAATACGTGTCCATCACCATGCCACCGAAACAGCACAAACACGTGGTTATCCTCCGAAGGCCACCCTAAACAATTCAGCTTTGCATGCCCTGCGGAAACCAGACAAGGCCGGCAGGGCACGGGTGTCATCCGAGAGGGCATTTCACAGGGTAGGGGCCACACCTGAGAAGGCCCTTCCCCCTGTGACAGCTAACCGAGGCATTCTGAGGCCGGGCCGCATGCAAGAGGCCCCTAGAGATGGGACCAGGGCTCTTTTTGTAGAAAAAGCCCAGCAGGAACTCATTAGCATATTGGGCCACACCCCTAACAGCACAGCTCATTAGCACATTAGGCCGCACCTCCATGTTACCAGAAGTCTGGTCATCCAGCCACACCCACCTTTTGCTTGTTATTCTGTTTACCTTGTTTGTTGTCAAAACCCAGGGCCTTTTTTTGTAGCAGGGACTCCTTTGCATGTTAGGCCACACACCCCTAATGTAGCCAATCCTAATGAGTTTCTGCTGTTGGGTGTGGCCTATTATGCTGATGAGTTCCTGCTGGGCGTGGCCAACTCCGGAGCTAGCCGGAACTCCGTTCCTGTGCGTTCCTGCCCAAAAATAGCCCTGGAGATGACCGAAGGGAGTGTGGAGGGTTGAAACAGGAGAGGTGGTCCTGTAGGTATGAGGATCCCAGACGGTTAAGCGCTTTAAAGGTTAACGCCAACATCTTGAATTGGATCCAGAGAATAATTGGTAGCCAGTGCGGGTGCTGCAGAACTGGAGTAATATTAGCGCAGTTGATTGGTTGCTGAAATAGGAAGCCCCTGGTTAATTTAGGGGCAGTCGGCTCATCTCTGTTAGTTTCTCCTGGTTTATAATGAACTTGGCACAGAACTCTAGGCTCTATATGCTTCTGCGCACCTGAGATAATGGGTTGTATCTCCAACCAAGCATTCATGCTACGTGCATGGATTTTCTTCATATTCTCCCAGCAGACTCTTCTGATCCCCCTGGAATTGCACGGGGAAAAAGCTACACAGGCTGAGCAGCTGCACAAAGGAGGGGAAACTCTGGGCTGTGCAGAGGTGTATGGAGTTCCCTCCAAGCTAGTTCTATCCATGACTGGCTTGAGAAGGTGGGTTAGATCTTAGGATGTAGGAATGC